GGGGGGGGGGGGGGGGGGGGGGGGGAGACACTGAATGAAAAAGGAGTAAAGCAATTCAATTCTCTCAGTGCTGAGGCCTATTTTCACATCCATGAAATTTAATCAATTGGAAAGCTGTAGTAAATCCAAGGCCCACTACAGCATCTGTATTTTTAAAAAATGTAGGTTAAGCAGCATAAACTTGGGGAAATAAGGATGTGTAAAAGGCAGCACTATATAGGACATGCTGAAAACAGATACTGGAAATCCTGTGGGAAAAGAGATTGAGCTGGATAAATCAGCCATCATAAAAATGAAGGTAATTTTTATGGCTCAGGTTCCAATCTGTCCTTATTTGCCAGGGAAATTTGTGCTTTCTTGTTCCTTTTTTCAGTACTGTATTATTTTAGGTATAATACATTTGATAGCAGTTCATATATCTGAATTTTAAAACTTCTGTGATAGCTAAAGCTAGACATACATACAGATAGGCCAAAAATAAATAATATATATATTATCAGATGTAAAAAAAAGTCAAGATGTAACTTACATATCAACACGATCAGAACTTAGACCCAGAAAAGAATTTCTTTCAATTTTGCGTATATTTATGTTGTCTTGAATATCTCTGCGATTAAAAGAAAAGGGGGGGGGTACAAATATGCATTTTTATACTGTGTTGTTGGGGTGCAAGGCAACACCTCTCTTTCTCCCTTTCTTTAAACTTTAGCTAAAGCATAATTACAATCATACCAAAGTACAAGTATATAATAAGTACAGTATATAACAACTAATCATATTTTATCGAAGGCCAGGTTCCTGTTTTCACCAAAGTTTTCCCTCATGGTGGCTGATCCTCCAACCTGAGGTCACCACACATAAAGCTCTCTCTGCTGTGATCACCACCAGCATAACAGAAGTTGAAATTAACAAGATAACTTCAAAGTCTGATTTTAAAGGGAGAGAAGTTTGAATGTAAATCCTATTTTCTTCTGGGAACCCATTCCTGTGTAAAATCCCAATGGTACATTGTCTCTATGCAAAAAATGGTTTTATTGTCTTCAGGAATATTTTATGGATGAATTCCAGTGGCGTGCATCTGTTGCTGCAACAGATATGAGGAGAATTAATTGCTCTTTCCCTCTGCAGCCCCTTGTCTTGTCCCAAAGCTTGCTCTGGGGAAGGCTAGGGGCTCTCTGAAGCAGATCTGGGGAAGGGCATTAGGTACGTGAGAAAGAGATGGAGGGGAAGTGTCTCTGTGTAACTGGAAGTATGTTCATATGATGTTGATTGTTACCCATATCTTACTAGAAAGAATTTTACATGGTCAGATCATTTTCATTTGATTTATTGTTTACTTTTGAAGCTATATTCACTTTCAAACTTTTGTAATTGATATAGATATACTCAGAGTTCCCAGAAATCAAATATGTAGTATCCAGTATTAATTTCTGTATTCGCGTTTGCACTACGAATTTAAAATCTGAGATTTTTCTTTGTTGAAGATTTGTATGAGCTACAATTTGGATGAAATCCATTTTAATTTATGTCCCCTATTTCTCTTTCCGTTATTTTTCCTCTTTCACTCTCTCTCTCACACACACACATACACAGTATATGCTCATAAAACCAAAATATCAAAAGAATCCAGGAAAAAACTTACAGCACAACTTTCTGCAAAGTGTGTACCTGGTTAACGGCAGGCAAAAACCTGATGGCAGTGTTTGATATTAACCTAAAAGAAGAGGAAATAAATATATAGACATAATTAGCTATGGGAGGAAGGAGAGAATAATGAGAAATGCCTTCTCAACATGGGTGCCCTCCAGCTGCATCACTGTAAACCAGAACATTCACTGTTAATCCACTATATTTGGAGGATAGCAAGAATTATTAGGAACAATAATCAATTAATTTATAATCCCACAGAACCAGAAGGTGTCAGACTGGGGAAGGCTCTCCTAGGATGATCTTGACTGTGATCCTGTCCCTGACCTTATTCCTGAGTCTAGTAAGCTACCTTGTACAGGCGTGCCGCATAGTTCTCAGCTACAATACTTGGCACAAATAGGGGAAAAACAAGTTTTGTCCTCACTCTTGTGAGGATTCTGAAGGGATTCTGAAATATGAAAAAAAGTAATGAAGAACTTGTGCCCTAGTGGGACTAATGAGCGTGAGGCAAGCAGTCACATACCCAACACCAGGAAGAAGGGAACAGCTATTTCCATTCCAAAACAAGCTTTCAAATAAGTATCAAAATGTTATGCACAGTCTCCATCATTCCGGCCATTCACAGTCTAATAACGGTTTATTATCTGGCTCATTTCATATCCTCACAGCATTTGCTTGATAGCAAAACAGCATGCAAAGGAAGGCTTTTAAGTATTACAGCCAAGAGCCTATGAACACTGATGACTTTCTGCTCTTTGTATCTCAGAAGGAGAGGTGGCAAACCTGTTCTCATCTTACTCAGTAGGCCAAAATGTGGCTTGGCTGATTGACTGTTCCTGAGAATGGCTGTCCAGTGATACAGTTGCTTGTATTTCTTTTAGGTTTTTCAGACTGGTGGACACAGAGCACTTTAGTGAGAGAAGAGAGCACCTCTCCATATTTCACATACAGTTTAATAGGTCCATGGACTGAATGACTAGTGTTACATGCAAGTGATGCGATTACATTTTTTTGTGAAGTAAACAATTCAGAATAAAATTAACAATTACTTTTTGGATGCAATTTAAGGTTCTGATACTGGCATTTAAATCCCTACTCTATCTCTCCTATTATGACTTGTGTGGCTCAGGCACATGGGGTAGAGACTTCTCCTGTATTGCTCCCACGCTACGCAGCACCCTCCTTCAGGAATCACACCTCTCCCCTGTTCTCTGGCTTTAGAAAATCTGCAAACACTAGACCTTGAATAGGCAATTATTTTATTATTCATGTTTTACTTGTCTTTTCTTTTGTACATATAGTTTTCTGTACATGGGCTATTTCAAATTGTAAGCTTGTAAAATTGTTAATTGTAAACAGGAAGATGCATTATAAATTAAGTAAACAATGCATAAATACCTTTCAGTTGTTAACAAAAACAGCACCCTATAGACAGGAAGTGGGTGGAGGAACATTTAAATAATCCCAAAGCAAAAATGACTCAACTTTTTGACTGCTCTTTTCCTGATTAGAATCACACTCCTGAAGTGCAATTGTCTCTTCAGGTAAAAATAAAATAGGTGCTCATATGCACCTGTTTTGTTTTGCACAACAAGGATAAGGGAGATACTTTAATCTATTAGGAAAGAGTGGATTATTTACTGCAAAATTACATATATACGGCTCTCTGATGTTTAGGTGCCATCAAGACAGTGTTGACTCTTAGCAATCACATAGATAGATTTTCTGCAGGAATACGGTTCTCTACCTTACATGTTTCAGAGATGTAACTGCATATTTGCACAACACTGTGGTACAGGGCCATGTCGCAGCAAGGTTTTTTTTTTTTTTTTTAATTCTGAAGTGGAGCCAAAGGGTACACTTTTACTGCAGCAAGAATTGTCAGGCTTAAACCCTGCCAGTGCTTCTCCACTGGTGCTAGGATCTTGCCACCTCTTCAACCCCTTAGGATGTTAGGCTCATAAACCAAACCCAACATGGATTTCAATGCCAGTGAAATCCCATTCCCTTCCGAATTCGAACTATACATAAGTTAGGACAGGAACTATTATTTATTTACTTATTTATTTATTCGTCATATTTATATGGCCGTCCACCTCTCAGACTACTGACTCTAGGCGGAATACAACAAAGCTAAAAACAATATACAAACAAGTATTAATGAATAGTTGTATTCATTAAAGTATTATTAAAAACATTAAAGTTATAAAAGGCATAAAACCAAAAAATAAAAAATATTAGGTGAAGAGCAGGTGTTAATTACACTGGAGCCATTTCAATATTTCACCAGTCCCCTGGGGTCCCCAGACCTGATGACACAACCAGGCCTTGAGGGACTTCTGGAAAGTTAAAGGGGATGAAGCCAGCCTCACTTTGGGGGGAAGAATGTTCCATAAAGCACAGGCCGGAGCAGAAAAGGCCTGCTGCCTAGGACCCACCAAGTGGAGCTCCCTAGCTGACAGGACCTGTAGCATGCCCTCTCTGCTGGATCTGGTGGGATGGGCAGATGTAATTAGGGAGAGGTGGTCTCTCTAATAACCCAGTCCCATACCATGTAGGGCTTTAAAAGTCAAAACCAGCACCTTGAATTGGACCTGGAAACAGATTGGTAGTCAATGCCGCTTGCAGAGCAGAGGTATAACTTCTAGAAAGACACATAACTGTCTGCGAAGCTGCATTCTGCACCAGCTAAAGCCTCCAGATACCCTTCAAGGGCAGCCCCATTTAGAGCACATTATAGTAATCCAACTGGGAAATGACTAGGGCATGAATGATGCCATGAGTAGAGCCCCTTGATCTAGGAACAGGTGCAACTGATGCACTTTATGAAGTTAACCGAAGGCTCTCCTAGTCATGACTGCCACCTGAGCAGGAGTCGTGAGTCTAGGAGGACCCCCAGATTGTGCACGGGGTCTGTTTGGGGCAGTGCAACCCCATCCAGCACCAAAGATGGCATAGTCCTAGAACCAGTGGGCCCCAAAGCCCACAGCCACTCAGACTTGCCAGGGTTCAGTTGAAGCCTGTTGTTCCCCATCCAGACCCTCACAGCCTCCAGGCACTAGGATGAGATGTTCAGAGTATCACTTAATTCACCAGGGGCAGAGATGTATAATTGGGTATAATCAGTGTCCTGATGATACCTCACCCCATGGTGATGGAGGAGTTCACCCAATGGCCTCATGTAGATGTTGAATAGGAGTGGAGAGAGCATCAACCCTGTGGCACTCCACACAGTAGGGGCTGAGGGCAGGATCTCTCTCCTCCAATCACCACTGACTGGAATTGACCTGGGAGAAAGGAGGTGAACCAGCATAGCACTGTGCCGCCTACCCCCAATCCTCTGAGTAGATCCAGAAGGATATTGTGGTCAATGGTATGAAAAGCCGCCGAGAGATCAGGTAGGGCGAGAATGGATGCACAACATCCATCCCACCCATGCCAGAGATCATCCAAAAGCATGACCAATGCTGTTTCCATCCCAAACCTGGGTCTGAATCCTGACTGAAAAGGATCCAGATAATCCACTTCATCCAAGGTCCTCTGAAGCTGTTGCATAACCATCTTCTCAACAACCTTCCCCAGAAAGGAGAAGTTAGGTACTGGACAAAAATGTGTATAGTGGGGTCTAGTCATGGCTTCTTGAGGAGGGGGAGAACCAAGGCCTCCTTAAGAAAGACTCAAAGAAGAATTTACCACACCACTCAAAGAAGAATTTATCACCACTAGAACTCACTCACGTGACACTCCCTGGGCTGCCTCAACAAGCCAGGAGGGGCATGGATCTAAAGAGCAGGTGGCTGAGCTCACAGTCCTAAGGACCCTGTGCACTTCATCAAGCCCAACGTGTTCATACCGTTCCCAGATAACCAGGCAAGACTCCTCCCCAGGCATCTCCTCTGGACTTGCAACAAGGCCAGCTCCAACTGTGAGTGAATTCAAGCAACTTTGTCTGACAATTGCTGAACAAATTCTCATGCACACCCCTGCAGAGGGTTCCCAGAGCCCCCTCTACCCAAGAGGGCACGTGTCATCTGAAACAGGTGAAATTTGACACCCTTACTGCCACTAGGTAGGCCTTAATAGCAGCTCTAAACCATGTCTGGTTGAGTTTGTCCCCTGTAGGATGCCAGCAATGCTCTAGACGTCTCTTCTCATTTCAATTCCCTTAACTCCTCTGTGAACATGGGGAGTGTTGGGTTCCATGAGAGGGGAGAGGGTGCATGGGTCTGATCTGATCCAAGCCTCAGCTGCCCCCTTATTCCAAGTGGCAACCAAGGCTTCAGATGGACCATGCAGCAGACCAGCAGGAACAACTCCCAGCTCCCTCTGAAACCCATCAGGATCCATCAATTGCCAGGGGTGGTCTGATCTAATGGGTCCAGCCTCCATGCAGTGGATGGCAGCACCAGAGAATCCCATGGTAATGAGGGCATGATCTGACCATGACAAAGGGGACACCAAAAGCTCCCCCAATTTCAGATCACATAGCCAGTGCTCCAACAGGAATACCAGATCTGGTGTGTGACCACTATCCCGTGTTGAGCTCTGTATGACCTGGGATAGACACATGGCCATCATGGTGGCCATGAACTCCTGAACCACCTCAGTCTCCACTCCCAGAGAAGGCAATTGAAGTCCCCCAAGACCATAAGTCTGGGGAATTCCATTGCCAACCCAGAGATGAAGTTTAGGAGCTCAGGGAGAGAGGTTGTTATGCAGCAGGGAGGCTGGTACAACAGCAACAATCCCAACTGATCCCTAGAGCCCAACTTAATGAACAGGGTCTCACATCCAGTGACCTGTGGTGCAGTACTCCTGAAAGCTGTATGTTATTCTCCCAACTGATCCCTAGAGCCCAACTTAATGAACAGGGTCTCACATCCAGTGACCTGTGGTGCAGTACTCCTGAAAGCTGTATGTTATTCCCAGCTGACAATTGCCACACCTCCACCCCTGCTCCAGGTTCTTGGCTGACGCCACACCCAAAACCCAGCTGGGCATATGTCAGAAAAGGCCACTCCTCCTTCTGGGCCCAGGCAGATCTCAGTAATAACATGCCAGGTC